TACTCCTTAATAAGGGGACGACGCATACCAACACCTCCATGGTCGATACACATCCAGCTAGCCTCGATGTCATGTAAAAATTTGCGCCTTTTATACATCAGACGTCTGGCTTCAAGCTGTCGATTGTCCTGCTTTGAGTTTCACCTTCCTACTTAATTCTATCGACTCTAGAAGCCCTCAAAATTTCGGCTACGTTGTCCAGGTACTGTCAGTTCTGCCCACTATGGTCACCACCATCCTCGACAGCAACATATCTATGTTCATCACCGCACACATGTTTATTTGGCAACCTGATTTCGAGGAACTAAATAGATATGGATAGGACCCAATGCTAGCCTACCACGATGATTTCGAGATGCTTGCATCTTCGGACTTTCATTCAGACAAATTGGATAGTGCAAGTGCTTGTCAACCAAATCATACAGCAACTTTGATCAAGCGCGAGTGGGATCACACATACCCAAACTCGAAAGAGCGCTTAATCGAAGCACCCATATTTTCATTAGTTCATATACAACCTAGTGACCAATGCTTCACTTGCGTCAGTTTGAAGTGGGCACAGAAAACTGTCCCCCTTGGATAAATGAGGATTCGGGACATGCAATGCAAGATCGAACCACCTTTTTGCATACTCGTACACTCACTTTCTAATTGTTGGGTTGCGAATTCGTTAGGGTCGGGCTAGACGAGCTAGAGCTCCTAGATAACGGGTGTCGAAGACCCAAGGAGCTCCCATTTCGACTGCTCGAGGATTTCCCATAGCTGAACAAAACAGCCCGCACTGCGACCGGATATACATGGTCCTGGAAACCTAGTGTATGTCGTTCTGCCGCCACAGGTGTCTCAAATTAACTATCGCCATCCAAGCCTCGAGGATTTGTGCATTAACCTCAACTATCACAATACATTCAGGGCCAATACAATCTCTGAAATACGTAAAACTCTCCATAAATTTGAGTGCCTCTTCTTAGATTATAAGTGACGTGTTACGTGACTTCATATCCAGGATCATGATCTTACACTATTGGAGTGCAGAACGCATGCTAAATGACGAGAAATGTTTGATCAACTAGTCCAAAAAGACTTTCGCCGTCTTCTCCTCCCCGAAGACAGAAACGATCTCTGCATTTTCCATATCTGCAAAACAGGGTTTTTACCAACTTCCAGCACTCATCTTACTGCCTTCCTGAAGACGGAGGTGGGCAAGAATGGATTTATCATCTTTGTGCGACAAATTTTTAAGAGCTTCTTGGATGCCCACAAGTTTGATAATGCAGAAGTCTCATTATTCGAAGAGACTTCTGAGGCATTCGTTACTGAGCAATTGCTTAAAGAATAGCAGACCAGTTAACGGAGCCAAGTATGTCTTGAAAGTTCACGAATACCAAAACTGCTGGTTGCTTATACTTATGGCGTCGTTCTAGTATCTGAAAGAAGTAAGTATATAGTCAAGACGAGCCCGACGAGCCCTCTTATCCCGAATCTCACTACCAAATGAGATTGTATTCGCTCCATCACAGTTCTAGTCTTGATATTCGGTTTTTGATACAACAGCTGTTTCTGGATCCTGTTTCATTTCACTATGGGAGAATGTCCCAACCGTTGTAGTAATTCTAGCACATAGAACCTTTACGTGTACCATTCATTCCAACAGCTTACACACAGTACCCAATTTAAGAATTCCACTGGAAAGCTGTTCCTGTGTTGAATAATACGCCGATGTATGGTTAGTGTTTCAAGCACTCATATAGAAGCTTCCAATCCAGTTTCGAGCAGCAAATTTAAGGCTTTCGTGCTTGCATCTCAAGGCAACCTGAAGCTGCATCAAGCATAGCAACATGGGAGCTCAACTTCGAGATCAAAACTCGTCAGTAGAGACTGCGATACTGAGGAACCCAAGACGGGTCCGGTGTTCGATGAAATCTGCTTTCGTTTCAATCTACCGGAAAATGTTGGTTCATGAAGTTAGCCATCTTCACGTTGCGCAGGCCAATCTTATCGACAGCGATCACAAATTTCTCAGCTATACACTGTATTGTCATTCATGGTCATACGTTCACGCTATTGCGAACCTTGATTTAATAGATCAGTTTCACAAGGAAGTTCGATTTTGAACGGACATCACGCCAACTGATAGTCGAACTGCGCACCTTCACGAAATAATGAAAAGGATGGGGAAGAGAACGCGACTTTCTTCCAAACCCTGATAGATTCAAAACTACCTGAAATTTGTATAAAAATCTTTATATTTGCTCTCAGTGTATCACGCTGCCCTTCAACAGATTACGGACTAAGAAAGTACTGCCCAAATTGACTCCCAGTTAACCGAGTCAAAAGCAACGACTAAGTCTACGGGGAGCGCATATGGTAGCTTTAGATGTCAACGGGATGAATTCGCAGCCACAATGCAGCAAATGTTATATCCTCGTAGCTGTGGCCAGCGTGAAACCTACAGCGCTCTTCTGGGATGGTGACTTTAATAACATCAGTAGCCATGCGACTGAGCAGAACCAATGTGGATGCTTACACAACTCAGAAAGCTTATGCAGGGTGATGCCTCGTTCATTTTTCTTGTAGAGGGGCACGATAAGTGTATTTCAGAATCACTTTACCTGCTCAAATATGTGAGCCAGTTGAGAATCATGTTCTTCAGCGTCGGATAACATTATTCGAATACTTCCACCACGAAAAATGTCTTCCATTTTTCAGTTGCGAGTTTGTCCACTATATTTCCTAACAGTTCGAAGGAACGTTCAACGACTAGTTTTTTCCTTGGGTCAGTCTATCTACTGCAATCTGTGGGTTTGTTCAGGGATTTGTAACTCTCCCCTGTTTTATTCCCGTATCACCAGCCCACTGAGTTCAATTAGTTTGGCACATGTTCCATTGTGACTTTCAAAATGTCGGATAGTTGTGATGCACTACTCATGAGGTTGCTGAAAATTCGCCGACAGCCCATGACCGGTTTCGCCCTTCTTGGGGCTCATCAGGTAGGCGCAGTCCCCGATTTTCAGTCGACCATATGTTCTACTGCGGACAGTTCTTTGTTCCGTGGCCGAAACTGCTAACGTGGTCTTCTTCACTATTCGCGACTGATGCAGTACAAGTGCTGAGTCTCAACTTCGAAGAGCATTGTCTCACTGCCCAGTAAGGGTCTTGTTCTCTTCGCTGAAAAGGCGAACCGATTTTGGAGTGTGAGATCTGTATGCATGAAATCTACAAGACATGCAGCGACAACTTGCCTCCTATTGACAGCTTGAGTTTCAAGTTTCCAGTCCACCCATCTGTCTCTGTGGCTGATCAGCCTGTTGGCCACAAAAAAGCACCAATATCGTGTTACATTCAAGATTATGGGTATCCAGAAGGAACAAACAACAAAAATGTCCCATTGGTCTACAACCGGCAATTCACTGTGCATCAGCCAGTTTCGATCCGTTTGCTGGTGGTCAACCCTATAAGATGTGGTAGAGCGGTCACAAACGATTAGTCGAGTGAACTGACCAGAAACGTTGGGGAGAAAAACAGAAGTTTAACTGATCAACTTTGGAGGGTCGCTGTCGTTCTCTTAGTAGAACAGGGTAGGGGTCATCTAATGATGACTAAAACAAGTCGGAATGTGGATAACTTTGACGTTAGTGTGACAATCAACCGAATTTGCGAGTCTTCGTGAATCCTATAAATAGTAGCTCTCGTGGAGGAAAGATACTGGTCCTGAATATCGACCCAACTGAACTTTGGAGCAGCCTGGTGCTGCACATCCCATTACAAGCCATCATCAAAGAAAGATTTAGCCGAACATCAATTGAATCGAACTTTCACACCAGTTGGATATGCAAATGAGCTACAAATTAGTGTTGATGTAATACAGACCATCGACCGAACTTTGGAAACTATCCCTACATGATAGGATCCAAACAGGTGACAAAACACCGTAACGTTTGTGGCATGAAGAATTTCAAGTCAGCCAATCCTCTGAATCCTATTAGAAAAGGGAAATTTCCGACAAGACTCACTTTGCATATTTGCAGTTCCTCAAATACGTACTATCCTGTTGTTTCCACCTGCACTTCCGTCCACTCACCACGTTCAAGTTTACATTTTCCATTCGTTGATACTAGCATTCCTAATTTATAGCATTTCAGGCCCACCAACTGTATACAGCGTGCTTAATGTTCATCGAAAACTGATGATGCGTTTAAACTTTTCATCATCACCATCATCATCGACAGCATGAAATCAGTGTACAACACGGATACTTGGCTGCCGTACAACCATGATTTAATTGAAAGCCTTAATGTGAAGTAAAGAATAAAGGTGGAAGGGGAAAGGACTTAGTGTTGGCTTACTACAATCACTCCGAGGTGCCCACACCTACAAACTCTCATTCAGGCAATCTGGATAGAAACCGACAACAAGAACGCCACTGACATCGCTTAGAAGACATATATTGTGGCGTCCCCAACCAAGTGCAGCAAGGATCACGCGTTCCACATCCCGGAAGGCGAATAGCACTGGGTGCATCCAAACGTTTCGTGATTTGTTTCATACCCCTCTGCCAGGTCAAGGGATGGCCACCTCTTTGCTTCCACCACTCTGAATCGGGCATGAAAAACAGCACTCTCTTGGACAAGCGATGGCTAGGTATCCGCAACATGTCGCAACCAACGCAGCTTCCGATGCTGGACACATTCTTCAATGGAAGTAGCCGTTGCACAACCAAAAACTCGCTTTCTAACTGCCTCATTATTTAATCCCCGATACCAACTCACATGAGCTATGGCTCTGAGACAACGATTGTCGAACACCTGAAGACGTCTCAGTTCCGCTGCTCGAACAGGCCAAGTCTCAAAGGCATGCAACCAAATAGTCCGCACTGTAACTTGATACACACGTCCCTTGAGGTTCAGGGATACACCGCTTTGACGCCATAGGTATCTCAGATTAGCAAACGCGGCCCAACCTTGCAGATTCGTGCATTCACCTCATCTGTCACGCTACAATCAGGACCAATACAACTTCCAAGATACGTAAAACGCCCTACAAATATTAGTGATTCCCTGGATTGCAAGTGGCCTATTCCGTGACTGCATGTCCAGGAGCATGACCTTACACTTTGTGGGTATGACTTTGGTCAGTTCATCCAATAACTCTTGCGCCCCCTCCTCATCTACGAATATGAGAACGATGTCATCTGCATATTTCAGATAGACAAGGTTTTCGTCACAGGCTATTTAAAGATCGGGGTTTTGGAGACCTTCCAGCGATAGTCTCAGGATTTCATCGACCATAAAGTTAAACAGGAATTGGGAGAGTGGGTATTCCTGATAGACACCACTTAATGTACGGAAGCTTCTGGAGAGCTGGCCGTATACTCTCACACGTCTGGAATTTGGGAATGCAAAAGGTATATTATGTTCACGAACTTCCAGGGCATTCCTTGGTGGGCAAGCGTGTCGAGCAGAACAGACCGGTCAACCGAGTCAAATACCCCTTGGAAATCCAGGAATACTAGAATTGTGGGTCGCTTATACGCATGGCGTGTTCTACCACCTGACGAAGAATGAAGATTCGGTAAACGAAACCCCTACAAGGCCGGAATCCCGCTGGCTGCTCTCGAGTCAGTGTCTTACGAGCCACCGTAAGACGACGAAGTACAAGTGACGCCAACAGACTCGCCACGACCGGGGTCAAGCTGATCCTCTGTGGTTGCCACACACTACGAGCCCCATTTTTGAAAGTGGGCACTATCACCGACTCCCCCCCAGTTGTCTGGGACAGATTCTTTTTCTCAAATGCAAGCAAACAGATCAGACAAGCGCTGACTGAGGACTCCATCCTCATCTTTGAACAATGCAGGTGGGAGGCATCCGGACCAGAGGCTGGGTGGCGCTTAAGAAGACATATGCAGTCGTAGACCTCCGAGGCCGTAGGTAGTTCCACGTCCACCGTCCAAGTTTCTACGTCACCTGTGGGTTCCAGATGGGTGCCAGCTGGTGGCCATGACAATTGTTGTTCAAAGTATTCGGCCCAACGGTTGAGACATTCTTGTTTATTCGAGATGGTCACTCCCTTCTATAAACTTTTCACTCGTGATCTAACGCGCTCCTCCATAATAAGGATCATTGATGACTTTAACGTTCACAATGCCCAATAACCCTGTCACCCCTACAACAGCCACGAGGTGGTCGTAAAACGGAGTCTTCTTTGATCACTAAGTGCTTACCCAAAATATCTTTCCACGCTTTGATAGCGACAGTCCACGGACCCTGGAGTACACCCTTGCTGTAAGTCCCTTCCCTCACCTCATGCACCTCACTAGATTCTTCTTCACATTACCCGCTCCGAGCCAGTTTCGATCCCGTATCCCCGCCGAATTCTCGACGGCTTTTCGATCAACTGAGAAGTTATGGGCCAATCTGGTGACTCACTTCTACAGGCGTTTTTAAAAATAATCTCAATTTTCTGGACAAATGTTACGCATAACGGTATGCATAAATTTATTCCGAACATTTCCAACCCCGATATTTATCCCTTAATTCTTAGTTGTGCTCTGTTACGTAGTACAACTATATCGGCATTTGCGAAGGCGCCCAACCACTGGGTGATCATCTGCCACAGCCAGATCTAAACCCTATAAATTCCTTAACATTTCCCTCTCGCTCTGCTTGCCTCCCCTGATTTGCAACCCTCAGAGTCCCTGACTGTAACCTTATTACGCGAAATGAGGTTCTTTTGTGAATAGCCTGTATTTGTCCTACACTAGAATACCGCTGTCATGTTTGCAGTCCGGCTCCCTCCTTTTATCCTTTTGGACTTGGTCAACTCGAGGTTATTAGTCTCTTTGTCAGCCCCTCCCTAACCGGCAACCTTGAGTCATTATCCCTCCAGTGAAAAGTAACTTCCCTGTCTCTATTCTGTCGCCAGTCACACGAAATTTGCACGCGTCATTCTTCTCCGACAGCCTTTCAATCGCACCACTCTTTTGTTTTTCACTTTCCAGTTTCCAGTCGAAATAACTGTTCGTTCCGTGATTCATCAACCCCTGGAATCCTGGAAAAATCCTGTATTCGTCCCTGCTTAAAATTTTTACATTTTTTCAGGACTCGCGCCAACACTCAAAAAGATGTCGGTTTCTATCATCACTTTACGTAGAGATCCACGACACTGAGCCTTCCACCTCTGTAAACTGGTTTTACGTGAACTGAAAAAAATCACCCACGTGTTCGACATTCACTTCGATCAACAAACCAGTGCAGTCAGTAACTGCAACCTGGTGGTGTACCAGTCTTCGTGCTTCTTTCTGGTGGCACGGCAGTCAGCTCAACAGCAGTTCGTAAAACTGTTATTCATGAAATGGCCGTCTCTACCGTAATGCTTCCAGAATGACCTTAAACCCCAACTGGTGTGGTGGCGGTCCAAAAAACAACCAAAACAAATTGTACAGTAGGTTGCGGACACAATCAAATCCCAAACGAATTGGAAAACATGAGGAACCCAACCGTAAAGCTGAACAACAGTTCACGCTGTTGAACTGCTCCACATAAACCTATCTGATCTGTTAAACGGACATGCTGCAAAGGACTGTTTCATAGGAAACAGACAAAGCGCGAGACGAACGCGTGACCGCCGGGGTGATCACGTGGCCTATCCACTACTGTCTACGCGTGTAACCAAACAGATGGCATAGCAAAGACAGCAGACTGAATAACACACGTCAACAATACGTCAACAATACAAGACTGGGTAGACGAATGGATTTTTTGCAAAACCGCTTTCGCTTGCTGTTGTTTGATATATTCCAATAAGTACCAGTAAAATCACCATGTCCGGTTTAGCGTCACGTTACCCATAGGAAACAAAACAAATGAGTTTTTTCATAGTACCAAGGCTAGAGGACTAGACAAGATAGCCGGTGTCAGACATAGGCTATGAGACGAACTGTATTCTTTTGAATGTGTAGGAGGTCGTTGGCTGGACGGACGGGATACCCATACACAAAGGGTATATTTCTGGTGAGAACAGGAGAGGCTCTCATTTAACGTTGCCATATAGTTTAGGATTGCGATTCAAAAGACCGAAAATAACCATTGTGCGACGCAACCACTTTCACGCAAAATAAAATTACACTGCTCAAGAGCAGTCAGCGCTTTCAGAGCAGCCTCAAACAGCAAATTCCCTCACCAGACACCGGGAAGGACACAGGAGGCAAAGGTAATTGGGTCGGACAAGCAAACATCAGTCGCTTTGTGGAGACGCGACAGTGCTCAGATTTACGGTCGCATCCATACTATCTAGCGGTTTATTCCGAAAAAGTGGGTACTACAAAGAAATGGAAAGTGGCCGGAGTACCGAAACAAGGTTGGCAGAACCTACTTGCAATTGACAGTACAAAGTTTATGGTCCCCAAATGGATGGTCGAAAGGCAGCTTCTAAAATCCCGGTCTCTGACCAGATGCATGAAGACAGACAGAAGAACGGCAGAAACAAAGCACTGGTATTTGGGCAAGTGGAACGACAGAACAGACGGGTTCAATAAAGTAGAAGCTGAGGCACAGTGAAATCGAAAGAGATGTGGCAAAAACGGTATACAGGAAAAGGATAATGCGTACAGGAACCAACCGAAAAAAGAACAAGTATCGGAGAAACAGGGGGGATAGAGTAGCTCAAGGGTGACAAAGATCCCGTTACCACCTTCCAGAAAGATGTACCTATTAGCTATTCGGGAAATTAATATGATAGCAAAAATATGTCGATTAAATTTGGAATTGTAAATACTACGTACAGATCATGTGGAAAATGTCCAATCCACCAATGGGTCGACAAAAATACATCATAATGCTTTCTTAAAAATGAGTAGCTGGTAGAAAAAACATTAACACTGAATAGAGGAAGGGAGCAGACCATGAACCCACAGCGATTTCGGGGAACCTGAGACAGAGATGCACAAAACAGACAATACGATAGGGAACCACACAGGGTGTGGGAATGTGGTGACGAATGTACAAGTGTGTTCAAAAATAGGCAGTTCAAATATTGGTTAGAGGAAACGATATACATTTGAATGCATGAAGCGGATGGAGTGATATACAATGAGAATAATGAAGGGATCAGTGCGACATCCCTAACCCAACATCAAGTAATGGAAAAAGGCTCCGAAGTTAGACTTTGGGAGGAGTACCACGCAGAATGAAGCCTAGCTGGTTCCAGAGGAATGGACGTTATTGGCCACGGAGATCAGCGGAAGCATAGAATACTTGTCACCAGAATGACCAACGGGTTTTGAAGGTGAACGATTAATACCATCCTCTGGTTTAGAGCTCGTGGCCAAGCCAGGATTCTGGTAGGAAGCAGCCGCATCCCTGAAGTGATCGACGCACAGCTTGCAACTCCAACTGCCCTCGGGAGGCTCGGACAAGGGAGGAGTGAGACAATACATGTGGTAGCCACGATCACAATCATCGCAGAAAAGCATTTGTTCCTGCAGAAAAGAAAGGCGTTTTTGCTCAGTTGTGCAAGTCATACGTGTTCTCGGTAAGCGAACTTAGATAAGTGCCAGCTGAGAAGTTCCAAACAAGCAAGCTAGCCCTAACAATATCATAGATGGAAAAAATATGCTGTCACATTGTACGAGTGTCCAAAGGCCCTGTAACCTGCATCTAGTAACTAAGTAACTTAAGGGTGCAGGGAACAAATGGTAGGTGGTGAAGGGAGAACTGGAACGATGGATTAGCAGGAAAAGGGTTGATATATGTCGAAAATGTCACATTGGACCGTTCGTTCAGCTACAGCACCCTTTCGGTGCCTAACTGCCATGCCACCCCGAAGGAACCCCAAGGCCGGGATACTGCCAAGTTGACCAAGCTTAGACAGGGAAGTCGAGAGGCAGAGTTCGGGTTCGAACCACGGACCTTCCGGTCAGTAAATTCGTGCTCTAACCACCTGCGCCATCTCGCCCCCCTAACCAAATTGGATGACAAGACAGCATCGTTGATGCGGATCGCACATCACGGTATCATAAAAAAATCGTTCAGAAGTAAAACCCTTTCGGTGGGTAGGTGCCATGCCACCAGAAAGGAGAACGAGAGCTGGGATACTGCCAGGTTGTCCAAGCATAGACAGAACATAGTATCATACATGAAGTTGAGCGTAAACCTGAACACGTAATTGCAAGAATACTACTGCAAGAAGTTAGACTGCTTTCTAGATATTACAGCGTCCTCTCCGTTAGTGAGAAGTGTAGTAAATTTGAATTCTACAGCAGAAAACAAAAGGGTTAAGTAGAAGTGCGGCAGAAGAAAGAAGGAGCAAGGATCAGAAAAGTGTGTACGTCTGTTGCGCAATCGATTGTATAACATAGGCATCCGACAAATTGATACGTTGCTTTTAAGAGGATGAATCAGTCTATGGATTTAATAGGGCATTATGTAGACGCAGCAACAGCAGCTTTTCCAGATATAATGGACATTTTCGAGATTCATTGTGATATGGAATGGTTCAGCGGTGGGGGGCATGACAGATTCGCAAAAATTCTTGATCACAACGATACCATGAGTCTGGTGAACACAATCAAAGCTTAGACCCAGGAACCAATAAAGCTAATTTAAATGGTGACTAGGCGGTATGACATAAGCCAGACTTAGTTCGTCAAAACTTGAAAATTACCGGCCGGTAGCGGTTCAATCCAGTTTACAGGGGTCTATATACCGAAATTGCAGAGGTCCTAGCTACTACTGTTTTCGTTCGATGATGCCATGGACACAAAGAGTATTGCTACATGCGCGATGTCATGATCATATAGATTTAGTATCGACACATTGAGGTTTTATGGGTGTTATGGTCATTGAAACGCTTTCTGTGGAGGTGACTGTTGCTGGTAGTTTGTAAAGTTCTTGGGGTCAAAACTGCCAGGGCTGAACTTCCAATGAATATAAAGACGCAAGCATGTGCTACGGGTTTAGGCATTATTGTAGCATTCGTTTTGTGATGCAATAGGTTAAAACGGATTGTTCAAACACCCAAAGATTGTGAAAACGGAAGTGTTATTATTCGTGGACACAGTGAGCACCAATTCCGTGCAATACAATCCGGCCAACTTCAAATCCGAAATACGTTTATGGTAAGGGTCACCGGTTATACGAAATGAGTTCACCGTATTTGCAACATATTCTTGTCAATGCGTGGGAGATCTGTTAGGAATTAGTTAGAATAGGCTTGAAAATTCACACAAATAGACTGAATTAAGAAGTTTTCGGCGATCTTAGATATTTCCTAATGTTTGTTACTTGTTACCTCACTTCCAGTTGACTCCGCAACTAAATCGTGAAAAGCCATCTCTGAACCATCGTAATAAACGATGGAAAATCACGGATTGGTCTGTTTATGGCTGACTTACACCAAGGCTGTTCTTTTACCATCACAGCAAATTCGACTACACTAGCCTATGTAGGGGGTCTTACCCAGGTATGTTGAGTTTGACCGCATTGTTGGTAGTAGAATCCACTTTCTTCCGGCCGGTTCGGTGTTCGCACAGGAAGATCGATGCTACACACTAGCATATAACTTGAGAGAATTTGACAGCTAGCGCAACTTCGGACAGTTGACGGAGATTCAGTTCACTGCTGTCAGCCAAGCTCATGGCTGAGGCTAGGCAGCCATATTTAGTGTTAATTGCTCACTCGTGAGTCGAGCAACCTTTCTTCCCAGCGAAAGTATCCCTATGTTGCTACCTAAATAGCCGAGTCCGAGTGGTTTCACGGACGACTTCACAATTCGACAATGGGGTCGTTACTTGCTAGTCTTGGTCAGGACGTTCCCAGTAAATTAAACAAGTTCGCAGCATCATTTGAGTGCACATCTGCGAGATAATCTGAAAGAAACCCGGTATTCCCCATGTTATTCGAGCTCAAAGAAAATGAACCGAAGATTCAGTCTGATGATAATAGCTCACGTGCTCGCTGTACCTCGAGTCCCTTTAAGATTATAATTTTCCCATCGGCAGTGTACTAAGCAAAAAGTATCACAAAATTCAGTCACAGAATGACAGTCAGCCCTCGCAGCCACTATCGTATTATTTTGGAATATTTAACATCCACCTAAACTTTAGGAACAGCAGTTCTGGATTCAAAGACGGGCCTCTGTACTTAGCTACTGAAAATGACAAACGTAGTCTTGCGAATATTCACTGTTTGTGTGTTAATAGGTTTTTTAAACCAAAGTATAGTCTGCCCTCAATACATGGTGCAGGTTAACCTAAGTTACCCCGCTTGCTTTACAGATAAAGTCGAACAGTAGAGAGCTCTTCTGTTCAGATCGGACAGCGGATTTCCTCTGAAAACCAACCTCAGAGGAGACCTACCCTTAAAAGGTTGCGACCCAGAAAAAAGACCGCAAAGGACTGGCTTTGGTCGGCTCACCAAGGGAGTGATCATTATAATGCGTTTCAGTACCACCTTATTAACAGCCATAAAGTGAAGAAACGATGCACGACGTTCCCCTGACTTTGTGTTCATCAGTTTATATTCGAACGGGCCAAGCGGCAAGTTGACGACAGACACACTCGGTCATCCGTGACCCCAAAAGTACTACTGATACCATTCGTAGTGGGCCATACAGAAGACCAACCATCTCTCTCCATAGACAAGAAAGATGTCAGTCAAACAAAAGCTGGAAATTCCGCATCACGGCATACAAAGTAGACCCAACATACAAACTTTAAACAAACAGAAGGAGCACATATATGGATCTCAACTCACCTCGCAAATGAATGTTAAAGTTAAAAGTTAAGGTTAATTGTTCAGCTGTAACACCCTTCCGGTGCCTAGCTGCCATGCTCCCCGAAGGAAGCACGAGGGCTGGGATACTGCCAAGTTGACCAAGCTTAGACAGGGAAGTCGAGAGGCAGAGGTCGGGTTCGAACCACGGACCTTCTGATCAGCAAATTCGCGCTGTAACCACTTGAGCCATCGCAAATGAATGTACAACCCTATTTACATGAAATTCGGTACCCCCTTACTGGATAAGATCGATGGACACTCGGGAACTAAGCTCAAAGAAAGGCGACACCGTGACGAACTATCGAAATGCTGTTAACAACCACATGGTGGTATCATGTCACGAAAAACACTTCGACATGGTGAAGATCGTCCTAACTGAGAGATGAAACGGCTTTCGTGCAGCATATCCAGTTGAAGAGCACCATAAACAGGAGATTCATATTCTGTCGACTTTCTAGTCAACACTAATTTATATAAATCCACTTATGTAAAACCCGGCGTTCAAGTGGGAAAAAGGTTGATGGAAACTCGAAGACTACGGTCGTATGTTGAGTTCCAAGAAGTGTGGATCCGGTTGTGAACTATGGGAGCTTCCGTTAACTTTATAAAGGGAGTTACGTCAAGATAATCTTCGAATGTTTACACCGGGGAGGGGTTGGTTTGAGTAAACAAATACAGAGGCAGTAACCGTTAGCGTTGCATTGTATATCTGTATTTCATTGTTCACTGCACTTCGGCTGAGGACGTCTCTTCTTTTCTATTTACATGAATTGTTGCGTACCGTACATTCGGAAAGTCAACTCCATATCGACTCCATTGCGTGTTCACTGTATCTGGTTTACAAATGTATCACTTATGGGTTCCGGTCGGCAGACACAGTATCTTAATGATACGGCCTTCTTCGGGCTGCAGTCAAAGTACGCCGTTTGTGCGAGAGGCGTGTTCAGATTTGACTCAATATCTTCGACCGAACTAAGAGGTACATCGGCCTCACCAAATAGATGGCTGATAATCAACTTCACCTAACCATCAGTGGAGTCCAAACGACTCAACAAGAAGGTAGTTACATTGACCACCTTGTTTGCAATAAGAAGCTGGTAGAAACAGTTAGACAGCCAACCCGAACCGTTCCCAAGTATTTGAGACTGAAGCTGAATTAAAACAGAGAACGTACGTCATTTTCTGAGGTCCCACACAACCAACATGTCTTGCACTCGATGCACTGCCATCGATAGGTTCGAACAGATGAAACCATGTTTGCGGTGAACTGTAGACAGGTGAAGTGGGCACATCTACCGCAGTCGGAGCAACGAAGCATATCCTCGGGTTGACCTGTTTTTTTGTTTAGTCGTGCATCACCCAGACAAAAGTCGCAAGCGTACTCCGTATCCGACGTGTTTGATGTAGACCATTTTCCGCCGCCAGCCTCTACGACTTAAAGGGAATTGATGGGGATCGGAAATGAAATGAACAGTTGTGGAGACAGCCAAACCGGGCAAAGTGATGGTTTGAAAAATGCAAGCGCACCAAAGAGAAAAGATTGAAAAACAGTTGTTTTAAGAACAAGAACAAAACAACGGACACAACATGGGCACTAACGTCCCTGAGTAAGGAGCCATTCAGCAAGAACACAAATCCACACGGCTCTTGACGAAGTTAGATTTGGAGGGATCAAAGATTCTGCCCATTAAAAAAGCATTAATACTGCGATATGTGCATATAAAAAACGTCATAAACTTCAAGCGAGTAGTGCAAGTACAAACTGCACGGACGAATGCATAACCATCTGCGTATTTCGGTTCATTCTATCCGTACTTGGAGTTGGTACTTCAAAATTCAGTAATCTCCTTCTATTTGTATCCACTTATATGATTTCAAATCGCCCTGTTCAGCGAACAAAAAATGACCATTTCTACCCACAATAACAATCACGCATAATTTCATCAGTTCGTGTAAGTGCACGTGTGAAATTCGAAGTAACCAAAGTCGTGAGATTTCAAAAAAGTTCGTTTGTAAATTAGCTCTTGTAAAACGTTAGCAATGAGCATCGCATTAATTCCAGAAGAGATCTGCAATACATTCGTTCATGATGAAACATGGCAGATTTCGGCAGCATGTAGAGGTTTGGATATCACAAATGTGAACGGATGAAAGCCCAAAAAGTGGTAAAGAAGTGGGTCAACAAATGTGAGGAGGCCAAAACGGAGGAAAATGAGGTTAGCACGCAAAGCACGCGGATTATCAGGAATACACCGAAGTAAGCGTGTGGTTAACGATGATCGGCTTCAAAACGCACATCTGCTAACGTTGTTGTATTCATCCAACATCACGCGTGTAGGTGAACGACAGGAGCCCTTGGTTTTGCAGAACACAGCCTAACTACCAGTTGATAGAATGTCGTACATATCCATAGCCGGAAGTCTGCCAAAAATTAAAGGTGCTTAGCAGTCTCATTACAAACCACGTGGGAATAATAAAAAAAAGCTACAAGGCTGTATTCCAAGCAATCAATCCTTAGTTCCTAAGGTTTTAAAGTGTATTTTACCTTGTAAAGCCACGTCACCTGAAGAGCGAAAAGACCCAGTGTGTGCGATTTTATCTCCATTTTAGCAGACAGCTCATGGTATTGGCACAACTTCCGTGCAACGCGACTAAGGTATGATAGTTCAGCTACTGTCTAGACAGAGGCAGTCGGCAGCTTCACGTCCTAACCACTGATCTATCTGGAGCACAGTAGCTGGATGACTGAACCAGTTACTAGAATATATGCAGTAGTCACCTCAGCAATTGATATTCTTTGAGATTGCTAGCTTCACTAACTACTATCAGATATCGGTTGAAAGGCATCACGAATGAGAGTTCAGTGAAATCTCCTGTTCATAATAACTAACACGCGAATGAGTGGCGTGCATAACGTCAGGAACTGAATGACACGCGAGTCCGTTTCGGGCGTTAGACATTGAAAGCGCACTTCACCAAATGAAATGATGTGTCAAAGTTGTACATATTCGGCTAAGACAGTTGAGCGACTCATTTCGAAAAAATGCAATAGAGACAGCAGCCCGCGGCGCACCTCTCACCAGTTGAAACAACGCTATAACAGCTTATATGCGATCTGAGGTTTCGAAGTCTCCGTTCGAACATAAATTAAAAGCAACGGGTGGAAATGAGTGCGGTAATCCTCAGATAATTCGTTCAGCCAAGAAGCCTTTTGACAGGAAATGGCGCCAAGCAACGGAATCTCGAGGACCTGTGACGAAACCCTGTACAAATATTCCAAAAGCGAGCTATCCCAAGATTTGACAAGAGCGGTAAGGAGAGCTCAACCAGTGGAAGCCTATTTGCAAGGTGCTAGGGGTGCAGCGTAAGCCTGAAAGCAAGATAAGTTCGACGCAACATCCTCAATCTCCGTGGTTCTGTGAAACGCAATTACTTAATGTTACACAGATGATGCCAGTGTAACGGACTAAACATCAAACTCGAAACCCACCAGCGAACATTGCAACCTCGCAGACATCCATGTAATCGGCATCCCAAAACTGAAGTATCCCCATCGAAATACAAAACGGAAGGCACTTGGTAGCCAGTCCTCAAACTTAGTGGGCGAAATGGACACTGAGATCGTTACCTAGCTTCAGTGCACACTGTCCTGACTATTTGCTAAAACAAAAACCACAAATTATAGGATCGTGCCTGAGACTGGTCTGTGTATACATTATCTCCAAATTCTGCATCGGCCCAGTGTGGCGCACGATTCACCATGAAGATGCCAATCATCGTACATTCGTTGGATTTGTCCAACTATCAACGAACGGACCTGTACTGCAGTTCAGTTGTTTGTTAGTCATCAAAGAAGGTGTAAAGGTTCCGGCCAACACAGTTTCGGTCACCGCGAACTGGAAGATCAGGGAAAGTAGAACCAGGCAATAGAGGTGATGGCTTAATCAGTTAGTTGATATTGAATCATTCTTCTGGGAAATTGCATAGTTATGCACCGCAGGCGGTAGTTTTGATGCAGATGTTTTTTTTCACTACGGACACTACGGAGCGATATCTATAAGTGTCACTAAACCATGATGAGTGGAGCCGCGGAAGCCACTTCCAGGAACGCGGCAGAGTTTAATAGCTCATACTTTTCATACTATGTTACCAGGTCATAGAACGTCCATCTTTCTGTTGCCCCCAATCAGTACAATGTTGGGTGTTATGTTGCACATGACTAAACTTCGTTCGAAAAATTGCTACAATCATCCACTATCACTTATCAGACTAAAGTTATGCAGTTGTACAAGTGACAAGCGACTGCGAAGAAGTCTGTGGTGGATGACGACAGTGGAGATTCAGCCGTCAATTAGTACACTGAATTATCACACTGTTCGTACAATGCGAAGCAATCGGTGGGCGTTACTGTAAATATGGCTACAGTCTGACTCTCTCAGCGATGTGATTGTCTTGAAGTACACTGCGAAATGTAGTGATTGTGAACATAAATGGGGTGAATAACGTCCTCGTCACATGTTTCATCTGGTGATTCATCCTACTTAACTGGATAATGTATTCACATTTGAAGCAGGTTGTCTACAAGAAGCTTTCGGCTGACACCGAGTGTATGCTCAAAGAACTCAAGTAGTCCTTATCATCTAAGCGTGCTTATCTCACATGAGAACATCAAAAACAGGCTATCATTCCGTTCAGTTAAATAAACTGAACAAACCGACATGGATGCAGATGAGCTCGTTACTACAAAGTGTTCGTACCAAAAACACTACCTTTCCGTGCTCTTCAACGACACTCCTGCCGTAGGACGTCTCAGTTTTGTATATACGGGAATTTCGGACAAATGTTCTTGTGGATAAGCAGTACAAGCTCTTTGAAATCTCCAGTTGTCCGGAATGACTGTAAAAGTTCATCCCGTCAAATTTCCGTTAGAGAAACAGATCGGGTGATCAGCTACCACGTCAGCGGTTGCGGCATTCCCCAGCTAATTTCAACAACTAAGTTCNAGCGGTTGCGGCATTCCTCAGCTAATTTCAACAACTAAGTTCGAATTTGTGCAGTACCCCTCCCTAAGAGAAAAGGGCAGCTTTAAGGCAACGGGAACAACCACTTCAAACTAGAACCGAAGGTCAGACGGTTTGGCTCTTCAGATGCCTGATTTATTCCCTACGCTATTGGCCCACTAGTTGACAAGTACGCCAACAAATGATGTTATAGGCATTGCTGGTAGTCTGTTTCCTCACCCTATAGGGTTGCTCTGGCTGTAGGTCAGCCTAGAATATGCACACGGCCCTACTGTTAAGGAAATGTTGCAGCTGAAATATGCGTCGGTGGTAACGCAAATGGAACACAGGATGCAGTGGCACAACTCGAGATTAATCGAACTCCCATGACCGCCAGTGTCTTCTGACATCGTTTAAATGACATGGAAAGTAGTCGCCCGATATGAGCTGAGTGATGAAAGGTGAAGGCTAGGCATGCCTACCGTATTTGCCTGTGCTTCGGTCACAAGCTGTTTAAAAAAGTAAATATGCAGCATGTCCAAACAGGAAAAATGGATTATTTCGTTAAATAACCGAAACAACTAGATACCATCAAAATGTCATTTCTCAGAAACAGAAAGCGCAGAATACAACTGCTGACGGTCTCCCATCTCACGAAAAGACAACATACCTTGTTCTCACAAGAGACCTCCCGAAGATGTTTCCACGTGCATGAAGTACACCTTAGAATGTTCAGGCCTCTCAAGCAATCGCTTAAGACCGGTTCTGTAAGCAGTCGTTCTAGAGCAGCTCTACTATACAGGACTTCTCATTAAACTAGTGCGAAATAGTCACTAATTTACGTGCTGGGCGTTAAAAAAGAGTCCGAAATCAAACCCAAATTGGCAAGCAATAGCTCCATACTGTCCTTGAGGCTACGAAAACAGTTTAGTTCCAGGCGCCAATGAAGAAAATGGAAATGATCCACAGCGTCATCAGGAGTTCAGTACTGCTGCCGGAGAAGCATCAAGGTTAGATAACACACTAGACCTTTTAATCACTAACTCAATAAGCCCTAAAGAAACGAATTTAGCAGAGCTACTATACAGTACTTCAAAAATTTCAAAAACTCCCAGAATGAATCAGGATGTGAACTACACAAAGCGATTATCTGCCAATACTTCTTAACAGTTGCGCCTTTTGGATGAAAAATTAACTCAATTAATCGGGAGGCCACGACACCCCGTTTGGGAACAGCCAATGAAAAACTAGAAACACTGCGCTGGCAGAGATACAGTGCTTGAAAATGCACAATAAATGAGTAACGAGAAAAGCCAAACGTCACAGGGTGAGGACTTGGTGAGTATGGCTTGACTCGTCTTCGGGTAAAAGTTGGATGATCGGTCTTAGGGTTGTTTTTTAAAACATGTGTGGCATTCCGGTACACCGAAAACGTTCGCTTACTGCCAAGCTTTTGAGAAAAGGACTGCATAAGGACCGTAAACATGCTCTCAAGAGATGTGGATGTTCTGACAGTCTAGCTATGCCCGCACGACGATGTTTTTCATGACTGGAACTAATCACAGGTTGTTAGGCCGGTACGTGGTAACAGCAGCCTGAAGTGAACGAAACCTGGCGGATAATCGGAAACAAGCTACCAAAGACGCTCTCACACATTTACTTACGACTTTACTCAAGTCACAGCCACTTTGGACTCGACATATGTGTGCCCGATAGCATCCCACAAAAGGAAATCAATCCCCAAGCTCTATGTACCTACAGTTAATGTTTGTATTCTGAAGCAAACGAGACAACGGGTTGGCGAAATATAGACTTTTGAGAACTACCTTCATGGTGACCGGAGACTCAACTCCTGTTTATGATATTCTTCATATGAATTTGCAGCAAAAAGGCCGTCTTAAGTTCCAGTTGATACGATATACTTTCTCGATGAAACAGATTACTCATAAGGTTGCTGAGAATTCTCCGACAGTTTGTCAGGCATTCACGAACTCGAGGATTAGTGTATTCCGTCAAGAAGATAGACTGCGACACCTCTGATATCATACTGTCTTTCTGCATTACATTCACTTGAATATTAACTTAAACGAAAGGTTCAGTTGCGTTTCCCGTATTCACATATTGTGGGCGTTCAGGGGTGGACCAGTGGCTCTCCATAAGTCTTCCTACAAAATGCGGTATCCGGTAAGGACGTCTAAGAGCTGCATGACTTGACTTACAGAACCACAAGACAGAGGTCAGAACGCTTTTAAAAAAACCAGTTGTCCTCGTAAGTGACCTGGAGGGCTGCTCAGATCATTATTACTTATTCGAGAAGCAGATGGTGCATTCATTTTTGTATCAAGTGATTAAAGTCATCCGCTTACTTTCGCAAGGCACTCGACTCGAGGAGAAATTAGGGAGTTTGGGGCATTTTGCATCCCGCGGAATCTGAGCTAGCTCTGAACATACAGCAGAAAACAACAATGGATGAATCTCAGGGGTGAAAACCCGTTTGGCTGTTGTAATGCATGGATTATAAGAAAAGTCCGCTACCGAGCCCCGAGTACTGTGTCTTTCTCGAAATCATAGGTCCTTCATGGAGTTGTAACGAGACATTTGGAGAAAGAGCGTTGAGTAAAGTTCAACAGAAGAATGCATCCAGTATCACAAGCTACAATAACTGCAGCATGTGTTCTACAAACCTACTTGCATACCGAAAACAGTGTTATACTTCCGCGCCTAAGGGGAAGTTGGGGAAGTCAAACGCTGAATTGACAAAAAGGGATCAGAGCGATTTGGATAAAGTACACGCGTGAAGTCATAACGGTGTGAATTATATGCAGACTTGAGGTATACGGTAACTGTACCAGTTCTACTTCTCCACCCTGCCGTAGTGCTCAAGCTTCAATGATACAATCACAAACCAGGCTACACTGGCTCAAACTTCGTTTCAGAGGGTGCAACCATGCCAGAAAGGCCAAACGGTACACTCTCCGAAAGGTCGCAGTTCTGAAGCCGATAAAAATAGGTTCCGTCACGATTAATGTGGTCAGCAAGAAGAATGGATATGGTCATCCGGGTGGGTGGGATGAACACATACACAGAGATGAGGTACATATAGGTGGTAGATTAGAAGTCGATATTCAGGGTTCGGATAATGGGAAGCGACTCCTTCAGATTTGTGCTGAACACCGTCAGTTTCTGGCCAGTACGAACTTTGAGCACGGGCGCTCACACCATCAAACGCAAGCCAGTTATGGACTTATTTAGATCGTGTAGCTGTCGGTTACAGATGGACAGCCCCAATAAAAAAATGTTCTTCCTTCTCGGTTTCCAACTGGACTCCGATCATACCATTGAGTGGGCTCGGTTAACAGTTCGCTTCACCTCTGGATTACGCACGCCGAAGCAGGGCAATCCCATTCATCAACTTCGAAGATTTTTAGTAGCTCAAGAATATCGGGCTGGTCCGGTAGGAAAACTACTGGAAACGCTCAGTCACGCTGATGGCGAAAAATGTTTGAAGAATGAATCGAACAGAGTGGAAGAAGCCATGCTTTCAACTTTTAGGGCCAACCCACTAAATAGACATTGGGTATCGTCGAAATCACCACACCAAACTACTACCAGCGACTAGCGGCTAAGATGGAACACACGCAGCCCTCAAACACCTGAAGAATGACAGAAACACTGGTGGATTCCGAAGGCCCAAAAGATTGAGAAGGCTTTCGCTACAAGCAACATCCACCTTCTGTTTCATGTGATTCGATAAACCGATCAAAAGAAGACTGGTATCGACTAAACAAGCTGCAAAAAGGATGGAACGGCAATTCGCATGCAAGCCGGTCGTCTTGGGTGATGGTCTGGGTACTTAGGAACAGTTCAGCTGGAATACCTCCAAACTGCCTATGAAAGCACTCAACCAGCTTGAATGAAACATCGGCCATCAACAACAGGGATCCAGCGCAAAATATGACCCCGCCATCGTAACAGGGCAGACACCCAGATGGTCTGCACCCTGCACTTTTCAGAATTGGTGAGGCCCTGATGTGCAGACTGACAGTCTTATTATGGAAGATTTGGGACGCAAATGAAAGAAAAACTGACACTGAGAACCCAATCCGCTGGCCATTTTGATACAAGTCACGGAAATCTGAAACCAAATTAATCGTAACCATTTGCAGCAGTGTGTGATTTGTTCGGTGTAAGGGATTTACATCAGAACTCACTTGAGCTGCCCCGCTCGGAGGCGAGTCGCTTGGGACGTGTGGAAGATGGCGTTGCTGGTAAACCAACGCCTTCGATCAATGAAGCTAGGACTCCCGTACTGGTTCTCAGGTGGGTATCGGAGGCCGCAACTGAACTACTGAGACCAGAGGAAGTGGTAAATGGACCATTAGAATGATTGTGCACATTTGAATGCGGGGTCTGACTTTGGACAGTGAGATCGGACAAAGGAACAACACGACCACTACCGGTCCGGGTAGCCTATGAAACAACGGAAAGGTGAACAGGAGGTGAATAAAAATAGACCAAGAAAGAGCAAAACCACAATTCGCTGACCACAATTCACATCATCATAAACTGCTACGGATATATCAAGTAGACAAAGATAAAGGAATATACCGGAAAAATTGTCAGCCAGCAGGCAGCTCGCGATGATGCATCATCATTATCATGATCATTACTGAGAGCTTCAAGTTCTGGCAAAGCGCGGTACATCGGATAACGATCCTGCGTCTTCAGGTGAGCATCAGATAGATGCTTCTTCATCTGCCTTTATGTTATGCCGCATCGGTCAACGGACCTTAGTGGTGGTTACTGAAAACTTAGATTCTGGGCAATGTTTGCCATATTGCAGCAAGAAACCAGGTCGGCCATTAGTTCACCTAGGCGGCATTGGTTTTCATATTAGCTCTTGGGTCAAAAACACTCAGGCATGGCCCCAGGCACACTTCACTTGGTAATTAAATCTACCTTAGCAGGGTTCAGCGTGTTTCAGAGCAACCTACCGGTAGTAGTTTAGTGGATCAAGAAATGATCCCACATGACCAGTAAAACTACTCAATGAGAGACACTTGTGGTCAGAAAAGAAACCGCCCCCAAGTAAGAAGTCTCCCTTCAAGTGGAGTTACACAGAAGGACATCCAAAAAGCCTGGAGGCTATCCGGGCTGATCTCGTAACTTTAACAAAATGATGTCCTTGTCTCCTTGTATGGGCCGAATAACGGATATCATAATTCAGGTATATTGGTAGACACAAAAATTCCTTTGTTGGCAAACGACAACGGGTACCGTCAGGAAACTTGATATTATCGCACCGTTTTAATTCCAGCTGTTTATAAGCATGTGTTAAACTCCACATGAACCAGCATTGTTTGAATCGGGTCCAGTGAATTCACAATTTATCGTCCAATTTGGGAGATAAAGTAAATAATAACCGTTCACCATGACAGACTTTCGATGCACTATTACCGTGCAACCCAGAGGTATGAGGGCTGAGATATTGCCAAGTTGCCCGCAACTAGGTAGAAGCAATTGAAATGCCAGAGGTGGGTTAAAACCATGAACATTCCCGTCTCGCCTCAACCACCGAGCTGTCTCTAGTTCAGTCTGGGAGCGTTTTCAACCGTACCATGTTGCGAAGTGCCAGCAAAGCACAATTCATTCAAACTTCCGGGCTCACATCTATGCATACAAAAGTACATGTCTCATTTTGTACAGGACTAGTGGACTAAATAAGCTGAAATTTCAAGTAACTCGAGTTCTACATTGCAGACAACCCACTGCAAATTCGTGTGATCCTAGTGCGCAGAATTTCGAATTTACTCCACCGTGAGTGATCCTTGAATCTGGAACACAACAGTAAACACCTAACTGACTAACTAAACAAAGGTAAACTACAATTGCCACACCTCATCGGGTAGTTAAAGTATGGACTTTGTGTACAACACCTTTGCTCTAAGCAAGTTCCGTCTAAGTGATGACCATTCATACAAAACAGTGCAAATATCAATACAACACAACAACAACTAGCATTTACTAACGGTGGTAGCCACCTTTGATCTTGCTTATTGATGTAGAGTGGGTAACTGGAGTTCCAACAAATGCCGTCCTAACGTCAGAAGGAAAATTTCCAGGATTACCAAACGAGTCGATGTGTGTTATTTTTTCACATGTGATCAACGAACTTAATCCTCATTGGAGTTCGGTGTTTACTTAACGTGTTCTCATGATATGAATGGATTGCTATAGATGTGCTGTGAATGTCCTTTGTTGAGGAGCCTCACTGTAGTGGTACAGAGGTTGTTAGCGCACTTTTCGGAGAACTATTATGTGATTGGTTGTGGTTGGTTCGTAACAAAAGAGGTTTAAAATGCAGTGTCAATACAGTGACCGGAAGTATCGACAAAACGCAGGCTATATGGAAGCGGATACATGAGATGTAATCGGTCAGTTCCGAGAATGAAACTGACAGCAGCTGTTCCAGGTCCCCACTGGAGGACTGAAGGTCGAAGAGACACCCATTCCAACGTACTCGTTCGCAAGTGCAGAATGAACTATTCGATCAAAGACAGCTGGTGAGAAAATTACCACCATCTGAATGACGAACAGGGCGACCACAAAGCCGGCTCTCAAAATAGCCGTTAATAGTGACGGGGAACTTGGACCTGGGAGCGAACAATCGATTGGTAAGAGAACACAAGGAATTTTTAAAGTAAAAACAGAGCACAGTGGAGTAAGATGTTGTAACCTGATGTTTCGGTTGACGTGGGTAATCTCTTTTGAGGATACCTGAAAAAGTCTGTTCACGGATGCCAAAACGTCAGATCACAACACTTTATTCTACTATATTGTGTTTTGACTTTAAAAATCCCATATTATACACCACAGGGCGCTCAGTCTATTTGAAACTATCCGAGCCGAATTCGGCCCGCAACTCGTAAGAGAAAATATTTGCGTGGAGCAGAGGCCAGCGTGAGAAGTTACCAACAAGATAGCCAGCAGAGAAGTTAGTTTATTAAATGCAGCATGCGATTTGAGTAGTATTGACCTCCACCAATACTATCTTGAATGAACTGTTGTGGTTGTAAATATCAGTGCCAATCTGAACGTTGGTGGTCACAAATGAACTGGTAGCCACGATCTTTGACGGTGCTTTCTTGTGGGAAAATGTGACAAGTGGGTACTGATTTATCGACGAAGAAAATATGGCAGTTAAAAAGGAATGCAGGTACGCTGAATAGCCTTGTTCATTTACTTGGGGATGCTGTGAATTGAAGTGGTAATTGAGGCCAGTCCGCGACCGGTACCGGACGCCACAGATCTCACACACAAACGTGGGTGCGGAAATCGGGCGGTCGTTTGAGTCTTCGTCGTACTCACGATAACCAGAAAAGGCTTGAGCACGCCGACGACCGCCTACCCCTTGACTGAATGACCGATTGATTCGCGCCGACTGAATAGTGATGCGAAAAAAACGAGAAGGGGAGGAGCAAAACGATCGTTATTAACACCGGATGAGTGCTGCAGTAAATATTTTCCGAGAAATTACCAGAAGATAACATATAATGAGCCTTTGACTACGAAACTAGGACGCTACCTGTAGCTTCTGAGTGACCCAACAGTGTGGTAAAGCCTTCCTAGGGACCCGCTGGGTTAAAGAGAATTATCTAGCCCCAGAACGCACAAAGTAATAAAGAATATCTGACCCCTGATTCCATAGCATACGGTAGAGACTCGTCAGGCACGAAACATTTGTTAGGAACGAACTTCCAGACATCGTAGCTTACAGTTTAATGGAAGTATTAAGCCAAAAGCAACAAGCTAAAGAAACGGCGACCTATATGTGAACCGAACCTTAAGCTTTAAGATGGTGAGAGAGAGAATCATGAAGTTTCGGGTAGGTTAGCGTTCATACTGTGAGTGGAGTTGGCTGAAATGCTCCTGGCAAATGGTTACCAAATGTGTACATCAATTCTGGAATCAACTAAGAAACTCGCAGTCAACCAAATACAGTCTGCTTACCATTTAAAGAACCGCAACAAGTGTTATTGCCTTAAGAACTAGCGACCCTCGAACGATGGCTTATGGGTATCAACCTGCATTGACTAGTTCCCTCAGCGAAGCTAATACTTGACCGGTACGGTTTTGGTCATAAAGACGCATCTTCAAAGTCATCATATGCCTAGTAGTCTCAGAATCCCAAGGGGTAACTCATTTCTTGGGTGCTGTCATGGTGTGTAGATGTCTATGTGTTACCACTGAAACAGTGACAAGGCCTGATACGACGACGCGGTATGGACAAATTCTTCTCAAACTGAGCATCCGAAGCTACACAGCGGTAGGGTTTCCTTACAAGTTACACGTATGTGGCATCAATACGAATGCTTCACCAAGAGTGCTGCGTGCTTCAGCAGTTCGTTGATAATCTACAAACCTGTCCAGGTGATTATTAATTATTTCATCCGATTGTGATCAACAAAATAGATATATGATGACAAGAAGTTTGCTGACACGAACTCGTGGGTTTGGAGGAACTGAAGATCATGTTGGTCAACAGAAGAGTGAAGCATAGAAAATTAATTACCCGAAGTTTTTTTCGCCGCCTCCGGCTGCCATAGGTTTCGTCTAAGAAATCACTAGCGTCAGAATCTATATCGTAATCAGGTCCTGCAGCCCATGTACTCCGACTGTCCTCGTCCTCGATTTCTTTCAAGCTCGTATCCGTAGCCACGTGAGTTACTACGGGAGAAATGATGAGAATAAGATGACCAATTACATTTGGCGGTTCCATTCCACAAGTCAGAGTGACAGACGACCGGGGCTTGAGAATACGGCCGCTTGGACTTTTTCCAGCGATGCGCAGGATACTGATAAACTTTTGTGAGAAACCCTACAAATAAGAACAAACTGAACAAAAACTGTACCTGTCGCACGTTCCTGACTATGTCGGTAAAGATGGCATGGTCGCTGTGCAATCCCGGTGGCATTGTCCAAGAAGGGTAGACGAGAAAATTTGTCGTTTTGGATCCGCCGGTTATAGCTTGCCGTGAGGTCTAGCAGTCTATCATAATTGTACTCTTTGATTTCAGTAGTCATTTGAACTCAATCCCAAGAACTCGGAGAAATGCATCGAGATGTTCAGTAGGATTAGGAAAATATAAACTGAGGCATCGAAGTAAAAGGCGTCTATCTGCGCTAGACATACTAAAAGAAAAGAACAGGAATGGACAGTAAGATGAACAGTAAAGGGCATGCAAAGTGCCTGTTAATTGGAATCCTCATCGTCGTATTTGTACTCGAACGAGAAGGAAGTGGTGCTCATGTGTGACGAGATTATGTTCTCTGTCGAAGAATGAATCAGGGAACCACGCGTCTCCGCACGTCAAAATTGTCCATTTATTGATGCCATTAACCTGCGGAGTGCTTTTTAGGCATTCCATAGAGGCGATTTTCATTGCCATCCTAACTCACAAAGACCAGAAGTTAGAATTTCAGTAGCGAGATCTGTACTGTCTATATTGGGCCAGGTATCAGCGCAGACAAACAGTATGACAAATAAAGAGTGGGGAACCAAGATGGATGGGCCCATTTGTAAAGTAACAGAAAATTGCAGCAATAAAGAGGGCTGTGGGGGACAGTTATAACGTACAACGTTGGGGGTCTTGGGACAAAAAAGGGGAACCGGGAACCGAAGAGTCATGTATGCCGTCAGACTAGCAAACGAAAGGGATTACGGAAAAAGACGCGTAGTGCGCCCCAGGACGTTGCAACTCATGTTGCCCACTATGCCACTTAGCCGTAACACAGCCTGAACAGGGCCACATACAGACACAAAGAAACACGAGTCAACAGAGAATCTTATGAGAAGTGGAACAACCTTGGACATATGGTGGATAGAATCGCCTTGGGCATGTGACCCGTGAATAAGTGCATAATAAGTTCAAATGCTGTCCCCAACATCCACGTCTGATTCCAGGTAAAACCAAATTTGCCCTGTCAAGGTAACTCAGTTATAAAAGCGGCAACATAAACAATGGGGAATGGAGCCCGTAGTGAAAAATGTACCATATGTCGTAAAAACCACCAGTTGAAATTCATATTGGGTGGGATAAGGGAAAAGGAAAAAGAGAATGCCGGAAAAATCTAACTAACGATAAATTGGGATAATGTAAATTTTGGGCAATTTGATTCTAGTAAGCAAGTAACAACCACCACATGGAGAGACCAGGCTTCACAATCAGACAGAAGGATTGGCAGAACACGTGTTATAAACTTTTCCTTCTAATTGAGCCTCCACCACAGGTGGAGATTCTTGAAAGCCGCTTCAACTTTAGTGATTCGCGATCCGAATTTAGCGACCCCGTTTGCGGATAAGTGACTCTCAAAACACGCGAAATGTTTGGAGGCTTCCAGTGTCTCACCAGTGTGGAATAACACCAGTAAGGGTTAGTGTCGATCATGGACAGTGATTTTACACCGATGGCGAGTGAATCATTTCATAACAATTTGCTTCCGGTGCAAGCCAGTCCAATGTTCCGTGGGGATCGAAGGCCATTTATCAGAACATGATTGGTGTATTCGTGTTCTTGGACCCTGTGACCTAGCAGAGGTTCCAATCCACTGCTGAGTTTTTCAACTAACTAGTTGATGGGAGGTTATCAATGTCAAGATTGGACGGAAGCATGGGGAGGGGACATCCTTGACGGAACCCGCTGGCCGAGTTGACGACAGACGCGGACCCACCCAATCAGGATGTTCGCAAATTTGAGTGTCACTCTACCGTGGGCAAGATAAGTTCATGGCATCGGCATGCCCATGGCATTCGGAAACGAACCACAGAATGTCGATGAGCATGACGATGTTCTGACTTGTCACAATGTGAAAACTTGGTCAACGCAATCTTAAACAGCTTAAATTTCGCGGCCGATTACTCCACATGTTGTTAAGCCTGTGGAGGATGTCGTTCTGAGATAAAACTTATTCCTATCAGGAAGCTCAGGTCCTAACGAAAGACTCTACCATCTGTATTATTTCCCTGAGATTTCATTTTCTCTCTGTTGTAGCCAACTGAGCTGCAGTGCTCTTTCTTCCATTGGCTCATCTGCAACATCGCCGATCTTCATCTGGTGTCCCTTGTCTTCTTCTATGAGGCTTTTTCCACTCAAGTAACTAGACTATCAACGTGATAGAATAAATTCCATCAAGCTCTTAAATCACCCAGCTAGCTCCCACAGACACAACACTGGCGGTGGGTTATCACACAATGTCAATTTCAGCTGATCAACTTCAGGTGATTTTGGAACACCAGCAAAAGCAGTTTCAGCACACGCAACTGCAGCAATAAAAGCAATTTGAGCACACGCAGCTGAAACCCATAGAAACTCTGACCACATACCTGAGTATTCAGGCTCCAGAAGGCAGCGAATCTCAATAATCAATTTCACCTGCAATTTCATTTTTTGTAAATTCTATCACCGAATTTACTTTTGACACAGATGCAAATCGAACATTCAACTCTTGGTTCAAAAGGTACGAAGACATATTTAAAGTTGATTCCGCCAAGCAATGGTTTTGGAGTCAGCTTCCTGTCTTCTTCCAAATCCGATGAGCACTCCAGTGTTCAAATTCCATTTGACGAGGTCGGCGAGGACTGACAGCTGCTGGCTCTGCGACGAGTCTGATACGACGGATATCTTCCCACTCCTTCTGATAACATTGAAAATTCCCGTTTTAGTGAATTCGCCAGTTTCATCGGTCCATTCACGCCAGCCCTTGATATGATAACGTAATCGCACATGTGCGGATTTTCCGGGATGGTCCGCTGGTCAGGCAAGAGACCCACCAGGCCATGGTAATGCCATATGTGTTTCGGGTCCTTTAGTCGAAAGGACAGTAAGATGAACAGTAAAGGGCATGCAAAGTGCCTGTTAATTGGAATCCTCATCGTCGTATTTGTACTCGAACGAGAAGGAAGTGGTGCTCATGTGTGACGAGATTATGTTCTCTGTCGAAGAATGAATCAGGGAACCACGCGTCTCCGCACGTCAAAATTGTCCATTTATTGATGCCATTAACCTGCGGAGTGCTTTTTAGGCATTCCATAGAGGCGATTTTCATTGCCATCCTAACTCACAAAGACCAGAAGTTAGAATTTCAGTAGCGAGATCTGTACTGTCTATATTGGGCCAGGTATCAGCGCAGACAAACAGTATGACAAATAAAGAGTGGGGAACCAAGATGGATGGGCCCATTTGTAAAGTAACAGAAAATTGCAGCAATAAAGAGGGCTGTGGGGGACAGTTATAACGTACAACGTTGGGGGTCTTGGGACAAAAAAGGGGAACCGGGAACCGAAGAGTCATGTATGCCGTCAGACTAGCAAACGAAAGGGATTACGGAAAAAGACGCGTAGTGCGCCCCAGGACGTTGCAACTCATGTTGCCCACTATGCCACTTAGCCGTAACACAGCCTGAACAGGGCCACATACAGACACAAAGAAACACGAGTCAACAGAGAATCTTATGAGAAGTGGAACAACCTTGGACATATGGTGGATAGAATCGCCTTGGGCATGTGACCCGTGAATAAGTGCATAATAAGTTCAAATGCTGTCCCCAACATCCACGTCTGATTCCAGGTAAAACCAAATTTGCCCTGTCAAGGTAACTCAGTTATAAAAGCGGCAACATAAACAATGGGGAATGGAGCCCGTAGTGAAAAATGTACCATATGTCGTAAAAACCACCAGTTGAAATTCATATTGGGTGGGATAAGGGAAAAGGAAAAAGAGAATGCCGGAAAAATCTAACTAACGATAAATTGGGATAATGTAAATTTTGGGCAATTTGATTCTAGTAAGCAAGTAACAACCACCACATGGAGAGACCAGGCTTCACAATCAGACAGAAGGATTGGCAGAACACGTGTTATAAACTTTTCCTTCTAATTGAGCCTCCACCACAGGTGGAGATTCTTGAAAGCCGCTTCAACTTTAGTGATTCGCGGTCCGAATTTAGCGACCCCGTTTGCGGATAAGTGACTCTCAAAACACGCGAAATGTTTGGAGGCTTCCAGTGTCTCACCAGTGTGGAATAACACCAGTAAGGGTTAGTGTCGATCATGGACAGTGATTTTACACCGATGGCGAGTGAATCATTTCATAACAATTTGCTTCCGGTGCAAGCCAGTCCAATGTTCCGTGGGGATCGAAGGCCATTTATCAGAACATGATTGGTGTATTCGTGTTCTTGGACCCTGTGACCTAGCAGAGGTTCCAATCCACTGCTGAGTTTTTCAACTAACCAGTTGATGGGAGGTTATCAATGTCAAGATTGGACGGAAGCATGGGGAGGGGACATCCTTGACGGAACCCGCTGGCCGAGTTGACGACAGACGCGGACCCACCCAATCAGGATGTTCGCAAATTTGAGTGTCACTCTACCGTGGGCAAGATAAGTTCATGGCATCGGCATGCCCATGGCATTCGGAAACGAACCACAGAATGTCGATGAGCATGACGATGTTCTGACTTGTCACAATGTGAAAACTTGGTCAACGCAATCTTAAACAGCTTAAATTTCGCGGCCGATTACTCCACATGTTGTTAAGCCTGTGGAGGATGTCGTTCTGAGATAAAACTTATTCCTATCAGGAAGCTCAGGTCCTAACGAAAGACTCTACCATCTGTATTATTTCCCTGAGATTTCATTTTCTCTCTGTTGTAGCCAACTGAGCTGCAGTGCTCTTTCTTCCATTGGCTCATCTGCAACATCGCCGATCTTCATCTGGTGTCCCTTGTCTTCTTCTATGAGGCTTTTTCCACTCAAGTAACTAGACTATCAACGTGGTAGAATAAATTCCATCAAGCTCTTAAATCACCCAGCTAGCTCCCACAGACACAACACTGGCGGTGGGTTATCACACAATGTCAATTTCAGCTGATCAACTTCAGGTGATTTTGGAACACCAGCAAAAGCAGTTTCAGCACACGCAACTGCAGCAATAAAAGCAATTTGAGCACACGCAGCTGAAACCCATAGAAACTCTGACCACATACCTGAGTATTCAGGCTCCAGAAGGCAGCGAATCTCAATAA